TTGTGCCCACATTGTGTTGAAACACCAGTTCCCATACAATCATGAAAGTTAAGCAACATCAAGCTTGGTGAGTACCTAGATGGGTGACCACTTGGGAATAGCAGGTGATGCAAGCTTGGATGTGTTTTAATGGATAATAGCTTGAAATTGTTAATTGGAGATAGCTGAGGTCCAATTCCAGTTGGGTTCGTTATCTTCCTTTAAGTGCAAATAGCCTTTTGAAAGCTATGGATCCACCTCTTCTGATCCCCCAGCTATGGGTTAATTAGTAAGACTTGTATCACTAAACCATTTTTATTTCTCCCTCTACAAAAAAAATACTACTATCTAAAAATATTTTCTACATTTAAATAAGCGGCAAAGGGTTAAGCTGTAGAAAATAAATGAATCATTCAAATTGTGCAACTGCTGAAAAGTTCTCGGCTTGACCAAAAAGCCCATCCATTCCAAAATCTGAATTATATTTAGTCATATTTTTTCTTTTTCTGTATTTTTTTTTTTTTTTTTTTTTGCCAATCTTGCATTTTTGGGGAGGGTGGAGTATGAAAGGCAGGTTAAGTTTTATACAATTTCAATCTAAATTAGGTCAAGTTTCATTTTTTTTGTGTATGTAACTATATCCCACATTTTTATTTCTATAATAATTGCAAATTTTCTTTTGGTTTTTAACATTTTTCTTTCATTTAAATAACAAAAATGACTTTTCTGAACAATTTGAGATCTAGATAAGTTTTTACAAAAAAGTATATATATATATATATGTATAATGAAACATATATTGTTAAATATAACACACATTGAATGTCTATTATGTTTGATCATGAGCCATTCTAAATTTATATATACATATATATGTCTGTGTGTGTGTGTGTGTGTGTAAAATTTCAGAAATAAGTAAAATATAAAGGACAGTATGAATAAAGTTTTTTTATTTTATATATATATATATATATATATATATATATATATATATATATACTACAGTTCAAAAGTTTGAAGCCACTCCCAGAATTAGCATGGGATGAACTTGACAGAAGAGTGAAAAAAAATGAAGAGCTTTTAGAGTCTTTGAAAAAAAGAATGGAATCAATTATCAGACTGATACTTTGAGAAACTTTGCAACAAATGCCAAAAATATGTGCTGCAGTAATCAAGGTTAAAGGAGGATATTTTGACGAGAGCAAAATTTAATTTAATCATAAAATGATATTCTTCTTTTTGTCATAATAAAATTTGCAATAAAAAATCATGTCTAATTTTTTTTTTAACCATGTGCAATAATTTTCTCTTATTTAAAGTACAAAAGAACTACTTTTGGGGCCAATTTAAAAAATTACCAGGGTACCTGTCTACTAGGGCAGCTAGCCAATCCCTATTGCAGATGCTCGCTCAGGCACATTTGTGTTTGTTCAACACCCACAGAGCCAACCTATAGTTTATACTGCAACTATGCTGAGCAGACTATAGTTAAGGTTTCTGGGAGAGAGCGTGTTATCTAGGTTGATCAGCGATCTGAACAAGGCCAGCACACTCAAACCCTCAGTCATGATGACTTGTGACTTCATGCTTGCACAGCTATCGATGGGCACCAAATGTTCTGCCTATCCAATTTCACTCACAAGGCTTGGGTCAATCTGTAGTATGATTTTTCAGGCACTTTTCACAGGTGCTGCATGGCGGCATTGTCCCTCTCCAGATGAATAATAATCAAGAAGTCTCCTTCCTGACAAATTAACTTTGGTGAAATTCGAACACGGGTCTCATGGTCAGAAAGTGAACTTTTTCACCAGTCGGCCATGCACCCATATATATATATATATATATATATATATATATATATATATGCTCCAAAGTAGATGAGTGCTGAAAAGTTCTTTTTGATGTTAGTTTATTTAGTCAAATTATTATTTTTCCCCATTTACTTATTTTTTTCTTATTTGTTTTGTTTTCGTTTTTCAGTATTTACTTTGCGTAATACTTTTTTAGAGGGTATTTTTATTCGCTCAAGCTTGCTTGGACATTCATGGGTCTATCACGTCAACCATGACGGACTTGCATCAAAGTCGGAAGGTCATTAGTGTGGCATTAGTGGTTGCTGGGTGACTAGCCCATCGTGCACTATTGCTAGGTATCCAGAGCAGTAGATCACTAGCAAGTTCTTGTTTTTTGCTCACCAGCAGAGTTCTGCAAAGTGCATCCTTCATTTGCATAAGATTGTAGAAATATCAGGGATGGGTCTATAGAGCAGTGATTTAGGTGGATGTTGTTTCCAAGAGATGTTAAGTATAACTCTCAGCATCCGAGTGTAGATTTCATTAAGCTTAGAATCAAGGGTTTTAGTTAATCTCCAAGCAGTGGTACCAGACATTAACATGTCAATTATGCAATTTAATCTGAATTGTCAATTTTTATATTTTGCCTATATAGACAAGAATTTATTTTATATACAGTATGAGACAAAGAAATGGACACGTCCATAGAACGTCGATTTTTGTATTTTTTACCAAGACAAGTGAGTAATAGAATTTGTTTATTAATACTAGTTATTAATACAGGTATACATATATACAAGTCAAAAAATGATTTAGTATTTTGCTGGGTAACCTTTTGCTTTAATAACAGCCTTAATTCTTTGTGGCATTCTATAGACTAAATTCTTTAGTAAGTCAACATCCTTCACCAGATTTTTCCTGCATTTCTTTAATTCTCAAAAAAGCTCATCTTCTGTGTTAACTTTCCTATTATGGACACGCTTGTCCCTTATTGCTCAAAGGTTTTCAATTGGGTTAAGGTCAGGACTGTGACTAGGCCACTGGAAGGGTTGCAATTTACCCTCATTGCACTTCCTCTCTTGTTGACGTTTATTCTTTAAGGCAGTATGCTTAGGATCGCTATTCTTGACTTGTATAATGTATATATGTACACTTGTATTTTTACCCTGTATTAATAAACGAATTCTATTACTCACTTATCTTGGTAAAAATACAAAAATCGACTTTCTATGGGTGTGTCCATTTTTTTGCCTCATACTCTGTGTGTGTGTGTGTATATATATATATAAAAAAATCTGAATGAATGACATGTATGAGTAGATAGGTTTACCTCTCATCCAGTTTAAACTCTTCCCTGGTCTTTTGAACAGGAGAGAAGATGTGTCCCTTGTTTAGGATTAGGCTTAATTGTCTTAAATTGTCTGAATTTCTTAGATGAAGCCTTGGTAATTTTTATTCATTTTTGACTAGTATTTCTTTCATCTTATTTCTCTTGCTTTTCAACCAAGTAGTAATAATCTTTTAAGTTGTCTGAATTTCTTAGATGAAGCCTTGCCAATTATTATTCATTTTTCACTAGTATTTCTTTCATCTTATTTCTCTTGCTTTTATACCAATTCATGATAATTTTAAATTTTATGAATTTCTCAAAGTCGTATATTTGTACGATCACTAAAAGAATTAGAACAATCATCAATTCCTTATAACTATTCCAGAAGGTATCTGACTCCTCCTGGAATGCTCTGTCTTTACAAGAATCAAATCTGACCAAAAATAGAGTATTGCTGGCCATGAGTTGCCCAGTCCTCACTGTCTAGCTTTGACAGAGTTCAAAAGTGGTTACACAGCCTTGTGAGTGATGAATTACATTTTACCATGCAACTCCTTTTCAACAGACAGACCATTATTAGCCTCTCACTACTACAATGCTTTTTCCATGCCAAATGTTTATTCCTTAGTTCCACCAGTTCAGGCCTTCATAGCTAGGAACCTCCTTGTCATGTACAAATGATTCACTCACCCTCACTCCTTTTGTATTCCATTAGTAAGGAGGAAGTTCCATCTAGACAACTTCTTAGAACTGATGTATCATAGAACAGACATCTGAACAGATGCCTCCCTGACCACTCCAATGTTAACCTCTTCAACTGTTATCTATCCTACATATCCTCATAATATGCACATCTCATTTGCTTAATTCTTCCTTTTGCACCTTTAGAACAACTTCATACAGTAACCCACTACCATGAGTGACTCTTGGGCCTTGTATAGGGTGATCAATAGTATAAAACTGCCATAAATACAAGATACTCAGTGAGGATTGAAATCGCTTCACAAAGTCACAAATGTGGGGTACCCGAAGAGGATTAACTTTTATACCCAATTGTAATGGTGTCCTGAGACAAGAAAAAAAGAAAAATTGAAAGATGAAATTTTTGAGATGATGGAAAAAATGACAGCAAATAGTGCCAAGGAATGGCACAGTATAGAACATAAATAGAAGCAGACAAAAGATGAATGGTGCAACAAAAATGGTGTGCAGTATAGAAAGACTGAGCATCATAGAAATGACAGGACAAAAGATGTGCTCAACAACTGGATGGACAAAATCTAAAAAGGAAGCATCCGAGTCAAACAGAACAGACATTTAAATATCTGGGAAGTGTTATAATTGATGAAAGAAAGTCTGGTGCTGAAATCTGAAATCACATTGGATAGCAACTTCTAAAAGTTAAGCAAAATATTAAGAAACAGGGAAATTTCTGGGGAAGCAAAGAAAAGAGTGCTGAACTGCTATATAATATCATTCCTCCTATATGGCAGTGAACATTGAACAATTTCATCACAGATGAAGAAGAGACTTGAAGCAACAGAAACAAAGAAAAGAGTACTGAACTGTTATGTAATATCAGTCCTCCTATATGGCAGTGAATGCTGGACAATCTCCTCACAGATAAAGAAAAGACTTGTGAGTTCGTGCTAGCATAGTTATCAACAACACTCAAGTGTTCCGTCTACCCAATTTCACTCACAAGGCTTGCATCAACCCGTGCTATGGTTTTCATGCACTTTCCAAAGGTACCGCACGCTGGGATCAACCCCTCCATCTGATAAATTCAAGAAATCTCCTTCCTGACAAATCAACCATGGTGAGATTCGAACCCAGGTCTCCTGGTCAGAATGTGAACATTCTAACCACACAGCCACGTACCCATACTGTTATGTAACGTCACTCTTCCTGTATGGCAGGGAATGCTGGACAATCTCATCACAGATGAAGAAGAGACATGAAGCAACAGAAATGTGGTTCTACAGAAGGATGCTGAGAATATCTTGAAGTGA